TGGGAAACTGTGGTTTGATGCGGTGATGTTGAAATATTTATGTTTGGAAATCTTGCTTCTCTGCAGGCAGCGTCTAAACTGATAAAGAGCTCAGTTTTGCCGACTCTTGAAGAATACAGACCCATAATTCTGTCATCTCTCAAGTTTTCCAAGTTTACTTTTGGTACAGTTTCCCCTTAGTCAGGTTGGTCCTCTTCTTTCTTTTCTATTATGATTAGTTTGAGATTCGAAGTAGAGAATTGTGTTCCAATAGTATAATATATTTTTTCCGCATGCTCTGAACTCAATAGAGTCATGATTTGTGAAGTATCTTTTAAGAACATTGATGCAGCTACCTAGGTCATGTAACTAAGGATAAAGTATGCATTTATACTTGTTGGGAAGAGTTTTATTGCCCTTGCAAAATTGCAGGACTCGGAACTGAACTTACCACAAGTAGTCCATGTTGGATTAGAAAAGGCTGCCTCTTGATTCCATCACCACCTCTGCTCCCATCTCTAACTTATGGTATTCTCTGCATATTTAGTATGAACCATAATGGGACATTCAGGTAACATCTTACATCAATGTCTTGGTATTTGTATCCATGAACCAGATTAGAAGAAGCACATATCCCAATTGGATGGGCTCAGTCACTACATATTTTCTCCTCTCCTCCACAGAGGACCCGGACCCAACCTGAAGCCATTAGTGTAGAAGAGAATGAACCATTTATGTGAAAGCTAAGTGGACCTTGAACCTGGATAAAGAGACCGTTGTAAGTATCGAACGGTAAGTGGGGAGAGAGGGTAGTATATGATTGCAAATATAATTTGCTAGGATTGGTTGCTGCTCTACTCAATTGACAGTTAATTGGTTTTGGAGAAGTATATGATTCCGTGGGGCAACAACATCAATGGTTATTATGTCTCTAAATTGGTTTTTCACTTTCGATGCTGGCCCTTAATCCTTTTTGGCTATAGTGACAAGGTTAGTTTCTACACCCTCCATTCTTTTCTCTCTTCTGTTGGCAGCAAAGTTGTGGCCGGTATGAATTTAGTTTGAGTCAGCAGAAGATGGAATTAGTAGGCGTCCAGACTGACTAGGGTGATAGTGTATAGTTTCTTGGGGTTTTGAACTCATTTTTTCAATATTCTTCAACTGGTTATTCAATTCAAAAGCAACAAAGTTCCATGCTAAGTTACTCTCCTTATTGGATCTTTTAGTTGTGTATAATTCTTGGTTTCGTGATATGGTATTGGAGATATGAGCAGGTGAGGTTTGGAACGGACCAGAGCATTAGCAGCAGTTGGTTGTGAGATGGTATGTGTAAAATGGAATCATTGTAATTACTTGGCTCTGCTCATATAGGTAGGCTATATTTGAACCTCAAGGGAAGAATTCTCTTGCCACTTTTTAAGCTTTTTGTTTAGGTTTCCAACATCAATGTGTGACTACTTTATGTCAACATAATCAAGCCTAATTGTAAGCAATACTTCCCACTTTGTACACTCAATTTTTCTGTGTTTCACGGCTTTCTTATCTAACTTTTTTGTTTCTAAATTGCCTCTATTTTGGATATAACTTGCAGTTTAGGCTATGTAATCGACAACTAATGATTTAATCCATGACCTTCGGAAGAACGGTTTGAGTTTACATTTTCCTTATGTCATTAGTTCTTATAAGTAATTTGTTGAGTTCTTATGCTAATGTACGGTCTCTTTTTTCTTTTTTCCCTTTAGTAGTTTGGTCCAAGAAATCATGTGATCATTATTTTTTTCTTAAGATCACTAGGTTCATCGATTTAGTTTGCCAATCAAGCATTTAACCTTCGTTTAGTTCCTAATTGAGAGCTTAAGATCATTTGTATAATAATAGTATATGCCTCCGATACTGTGTTAAGATGGAACTGAAATGAGTTTGATGTAATGTCTTTGTTTGGTCCACTTTTATTCAGTGTTCAAGAAGACGCGATTAATCTCTCGCCTAGGCACGATTAATAGCTGGGCAGGAGGAAATCGCCCAGTCTAGCCCTGGGTGATTGATCTAGGCACCTGGGCACTCGGAGACGCGTTTTCACTTTGGTGGGCGACGCCCAGAACAACTAACAATGGGGAAATTGTAGTCTTTTTGTGAAAATCCCAAACCCTATTCTATTTCCCATTTCCATTCGACTAGCCGCTCCCCCTCATTGACCACCGGTGAGATCCCTCCTCATGGTTGGCGACTTGGGATGTTTGGGATTGTGGAAAATGGTTGTATGTATATTTGAAGGATGAATAATGATATGACGACTTGAGTTTTTGTGGAATCTGGCTTATATATCATTTTTTTTACGTTTAATCTCGCCTAGACAAGGACTAATCGGCATGGGTTAGGCGGTGCCTCCTCGCCTAGATAGCGCCTAGCGTCTTCTTGAACATTGCTTTTATTTGGGAGTAATAGTCATCTTTTTTTGTTGTTGGTAAAAACGAGAGCTCAGACGGGCGCTCTAACCCTTAACTATTAATCATATGTAGGATCTGAGTCCCAAGCGCGTCAAAGTACAACCAGTAGTTGAGCATATGACTCGGGTTATCCACAAACTAGATCCCAAAATGAATAGTATGTCCAAGTGAAGCCAAATAGTCTGCTACATAATTTCTCTCCCAGAACACATGCTCTAGCTGACTTCCCAGTCTCGAGCCAGCAGCTGTCGCACCTCTGCGACTAAAGTATGATGAGGATGACTGGAAGAATCGCCATTGACGAGGGCGAGCGTCGTTGCCGAATCTGTTTGCAGCTGAAGTTGTCGGATCCCTGTGTCCCAAGTCATGCTGAGTCCATGAAAAATCCCCGCCAGTTCAGCATGGATGATCGAGCCACCACCCAGATTGGCCGTAAAAGCTCTCACAAACTGACAGTCCTGTCTGCATAACGCTCGTCCCGCTGCTGAGTTCCCTTGGCTTGTGTTAACAGAGCCATTAGTATTCAAACAGGTCCTTCCCTGCAGAGGTGGTTCCCAGCCAACTAGCCGAGCATCATTTCCACCCGCTCTGTAGCCTCCCCGAGAACCTGCCCAATCCTCCTGGAAGATTGATCAATCTGCACTCTCTTTTGCCGGATTTGGTAGGCTAACTGGGTTGCCGGCGCCAATAGTCTCTCGAAGACCCAGAGGTTTCTATTTTTCCATAGTTGCCAACAGAAAGTAGCGAAGAGGGATGCGTCTATCGGTCTATGGTATTAATAGTCATCTTTATCACTATGCTTTTCATTTTATTTGTTGCTTCTAATTATAATGATCAACAGATAAGTCAATAAAATATGTGATCGCGTTGACCTATCAATCAATTTGGAATTGTGCAAATTGTTTAAAATAAACACTATTTCAAGAGACATTGTTTTATGCAGGTATAACAGCTCCATTATCTACTAGCAAAAGCGAAGTCGATCATTTGCCTGGAGGGAGGGAAACATCTTTGGGAATCTTCTTGAAATTCCCCGACTTTTATTGTTGATCATCTGACCTTCCAAAAATAGCGATGAGCATAATGTACTTGTCCATTTTTTTTTTCAAAAGGATAATAGATTATTACCAACTAATTCACTAATAATTCTTGAGCATTACAGATGGTATTCTTTTTAATTAATTTTCTTTATTATAGTAATTTATTGTTGTAAATTTTCACTTCATAATGTTAGTATACGTGTAACTATGAACATAATTGTTGAAAGCGTACTAATATTTGTGGATACTCGAAACTTTATATGCTATGAAATAGGTGGCAGACACAAGGACTGTCGTAAATTTAGCATATGTTATACTATCGAGCTAAAGGCCGAGCACAAAGCTAAGAACAAATTTATGGTCACACAAATTTTTGAAAAAAAAGTTGTTATTTGTTGGTGGCACATATTTGTTATAAATTTTTAGAATCTTTCAAATGACATAGAGTGCCTTATTTAATTAAAATTTTGAAGAAATAATTGGAATATTTCAGATATGTCCATTATAATAGCATTGTACTATCCGTATACATTAATGTTAGCTATTAACAACCACAACTGCTTTTGGAGATATATATTATTTAAAAGTGAATTATGAGTTAATAATTTGTATTTTCTCAATTAGTACCTAATGGTTGTCGACCATAAAATTTGAATCCTTTATTTGGTAAATTTTATCCCTCCAAATTACTAATAGAGAAAATCCCTTGGAGTTTATAATTAATACTTCAATGCTTAATTATTTTATTTTCATGTATATAATAGAAAAATAAGTGAATAATATCAAATTTTATGAAGAAATATTTTTGAAGTAATTTATTCTAACAATATGAAGTGATTTTTTTTCTTAAATGTAAAAAATATATAGACAACAGTAAGCGATAGCATGATCAATACAAATACTTATAAACTAACTAATGTTACAATCAATAATTCGCACAAATATTAGTTTCAACCCATTAATAAATTATTTAGACGATCCCAAATTATTTGAAAATATGAAAAAATAGATTAATATAAAAATATAATAAATAAAACTAAATTCATCCGACCAACGGGTCGAGTAAAAAGCTAGTATAAACTAAAAATCAGAAAATTGCGACGTTTCCCTCCACGTAAGCACCGCGTCCCCGTCACATTGGCGCGTTAACTTTCCGTCGCTATCGCCGTCAACGTAGCCAACAAAAAAAAAAAAAACCCCGTCAAGATGGCAATTTATCGTAAATAAACCCCAAACCCAGCCTTCTTTGGCGAACCGGACACCAGTACAATATACCACTTCGTTAAGTTTCTTCTTCCAAGTCAGTAACTACTCCACTTTTTCGTCTCTGGCAACAGTACTTGACCTCCCGGCACCAAACAGAACAGAGACGAGAAACCGAGGGAAAGTGAGGGAAAACGCGAGAAAATTAGAAAAAGCAAAATAAAGACCAGGCAGGAAACAAGAAGGAGAAGAAAAAGAAGAACGAAGATAAAATTCAGCAAAGCCTTCGGCAAGAACTTTCTATTGGAGGTAAACAATCGCCCCGGTGGGAATGAAGCACATTTTCAAGAAGCTTCACATAGGGAACACCCACGAGTCAGCGAATCGATCGAACGAAACCCCCGATTCTCCTTCACCTTCGCAATCGTGCGCGTCCGATCACCGGGCGGCTTCATCGTCAGCTTCTTCGGCGGCAGCCGCTCCGGGTAGCCCTCCGCTTTCCACTCCTCCGGCGTCGGCACCTGCTTCTACTGATGCGGCGGCGGCGGCGGCGTCACCGATGACTGAGCCGTCGCCTGTTACGAACACGAACGGTGTTGGCAGCAATATTGGCGCGGACTACTTCACTTCCGAGGAGGAGTTTCAGATGCAGCTGGCACTAGCGATTAGCGTTTCTTCCAATTCGGAGGCTGGGAGGGATGATCGGGAGAAGGATCAGATCCGAGCGGCTACTCTACTGAGCTTGGGAGGGAATCGTCATCATTGCATGGACGGAACGGGAGAGAAAGGAGAAGCTGCGGCGGAGTCCTTGTCGAGACAGTTTTGGGTGAGTTTTATTTTTAGAACTCTAGGGATTGAACTGGTTTCTTTACTGTTTCAAAGTTAATGCTCTTGAATTGGGGAATGTTTACCTGCTTACCAGCTAGTCAATGGCTAGTAATTTTGTGACTGAACTGTGTAAGTATGCTTAGTTTCGCTGTGAACTTAAGGGTTAAGAATAGTAAATTGGAGCTAGAATGGCAATGGGTTGTCGATATGAGTTTGAATTAGGGTTGGAAACACGTAACCAGTAGTTCCCGTTATCAGGTGTTGGATAATTTGTGGCTGGGTGAGTTACTGCCAAAAGTGGAAATCTGGTCATTTAATCTAATCCATTTACTGTTCTATGGGTTCCTAATAGCTGAAGGCTGGGTTGGAATTCGTCACAATTGTTCAGTTGCTTCTGACATGATGATTTTGGCCGGCAACTGTTTTATTTTAAGCGTTTATTACTTCATACAGATGCCCATATCAACCTGTTATCTTATTGCTGTTTCTTCTTCATGGCATTGCTAATCAGGAATATAGCGTGCTGGATTACCAAGAGAAGGTTGTAGATGGGTTTTATGATGTCTTCTCCACAAGTTCAGAAAATCAAGGGAAGATGCCTTCTCTTGTAGACTTGGAAACAAATTCCGTCCCTTCTGGCTTTGAAGCAATAGTAGTGAATCGATCGATTGATCATAACTTGGAAGAGGTGGCACAGGTTGCTCAATGTATTTCATTAGATTGCCCTGCTACTGACATTAGCATTTTGGTCCAGCGACTGGCTGAACTCGTAACAGCGCACATGGGTGGCCCTGTAAAGGATGCTAACATAATGTTGACAAAGTGGATGGAGAGAAGCATCGAGTTGAGGACAGTTCTTCATACAAGTGTGCTGCCCATTGGTTCGATAAATATTGGCCTATCTCGCCATCGTGCATTGCTTTTCAAGGTCAGTTTTACTTTTTGTTGATGAGTAATGAAATATTGATGCTTCTTGCTTTTACCACAGACCTTAGGTTGGCTGTCAGCATGCCTACCATTGCCATGTAGTTTTACATTTCAATCCTGTTTTACTTGGTAGGTATTGGCTGACACTATAAATCTACCGTGTCGATTGGTGAAAGGAAGTCATTACACTGGAGTTGAGGATGATGCTGTGAACATTATCAAGTTGGAGGATGAAAGGTTATGGATTGTTCCTTCGCTTGAAATTTGTTTGCCATTGATACTCATTTAATTTTATATAAGGTTTCCATTTACATTGGGAACAGTTAGTGATATCTCTTTTATCATAATATGTCTGGGACAAGATATATTTATATAAAATGGGCTTCATATGTAATACCCATAGTTCGTTAAAGGAATGACAGTGGAGCTTGCCTAACACTTACGCTCTAGCTAGGGCTCCTGCATAATGAACATTGTTGTCTAGCACGATGAAGTTCATCTTTCCAGAGAAGACTGAATATAGTGAGTCACAGGGCCTGTCATGGAAGTATCAGTTGATTATTGGTATAATTCAATAGATCCAGCAGAGCATTCGACAATAAGAACTTTGGATCATTCATTTGGCTGAAACGTCTTTGATCTCTTACATTCTAATGTCTAAGCACATACATGAATCCTTGTATTTTGACTCTCTGTGTTTATGTCCTAAGTTTTCTGTGTACATTTCTTTCTATGATTTTATGAGTCTGTACAGCATAAGTGTAGTTGATCAGCCCATGTTCGCACATCTAACAGTCTACTTTGTCATCAGGGAGTTTTTGGTTGACCTAATGGCAGCTCCAGGGACATTGATTCCTGCTGATATTCTGAGTACCAGTAGAGTTCCCACTCCTTATTCCTCTGATTCTGGACTAGGAAGACCAAACTCATTACCTGGTGAAGGGCCAAGTCGAAACTCTTCATCGAGTGGTTGCTTGTCTAGGAGTGAAGATGCTGGACCATTATATTCATACTCTGGTTCTATAGGTGATGCTGGTGTTGGTTCTTCCGGGTTATCCAACAAAGCTACTCACTCCAATCTACTGGATAAGGAAAATCATGGAGGTCATGCTGTTGCTGATGGTATTCGGATTAATGGTAATGCTCCTTACAATCAGAATGGACCAGAAGATTCTAATAATCTTTTCGCAGATCTCAATCCACTTCAGAACAAGGGTAAAAAATTTGTACATTCTAAACCTGGAGATAATAAGACCGATGGCCTGAGGAATGATATTGTACCTGGTCGACCCCCTGCACCATTGATGTGGAAGAGCCGATATGCAAACAACGAGGTACCCAGGAACAAGGAATATGATTATATGGATGGCCTTTTTCCGAGAATTAACCGCGAACCAAATAACTACAATCAAACATCCACAGCATCCACCAGCTCCAATGTTTCCCGGAACGCATATGCTCAGAATTCTAAGCCATCTGTAACTTCCAATCAAGCCAGTAGGGGTAGTGAGCCAAGAAATTTGTATACTGGTTCCAGTTCAGCAGTGGCATCTGGTGTTAGACAATATCAAAATCGACCCATGGGCCAGGCAGTAGACTTGGGTTTTGAAGTTGAAAATCAAAGAGATGCTAGTAATTGGCAAAACAGCGCCATATCGAAGGATGATGAAGATGGTGAAAATAGTGCTCTGGATCCAAGGAAGATGACAAGTGACATGTTTTTTGGCAGCAATTTGAAACTAAAGGATCTGGAAAGTCCTAGCTCATCACTTGAGTCGAGCATGAGCAACAGGGTGGAGCATGGTTTGGATGATGTAGATGTTGTGGAATGTGAGATTCCTTGGGAAGAGATGGTCATTGGCGGGAGAATCGGACTAGGTAAGGAACCTCAACAATCGTTTATATTTCTTTATTGGACTTTTATCTTTGTGGTAGGAGAATCGATTATAAGCTGGTTGGTGCTATGTGCAATGTGCTATGTACATAATCAGTCATATGGTGTTTGCTTAAACGGTCACTGGTGATAGATGTGTACAGTGGTGAGTGCCAGATGTGGGGGAGAGAGAAAATAGTCTGTTTTCCATGTAATCTTTGTCTAGCTCATTCATGGTGTTCTAGCTCTTCTTGCCTAACAATTTGGGCCTTTGGTTGTGCTGGCTTATGTCATGGGTAAGACGTGGAAGAATTGATCTTGGAATAACCATGGCTCTTGCCCCCTCTTTTCCCCTTGAATATGAGATTTGTTTTTCTCTACCTGTTGTTGTGTGACACGGAAGACATCACTATAATTCTTCCTTATGGATGTATATTGGTGAGGCCAAGGTGTTGGTCACATATATTTCAATCTGGGAGCTTTTTATCTCTCTTAATAGTGTCTTGTTTCGCATAGGTTCATATGGTGAGGTTTACCAAGCTGATTGGAATGGCACGGTGAGTCTGGTTTTCCCCTTTGTTCTGCATATCCTTGTAAACGTTATTAACTTAAACAGTCAGGAAAAGTAATGTATGGATGAATGTTTGCGCTGCTGCCTCTCTTATATTTTGGTATTCCAGCTTACCATTGATCATTTAATATCTTGTGTCAGTTATGGAATTGTTGATTTCTTAACTGTATACATAATAGTCACGTTTCCTGCTCAAGAGTAGATGAACAGGGATGCGGTTCGCTTTGAGTTCCTTCATCTCCTGTCATTTGATATCTTACATCAGCTCTTAATTGTTTGCATAATCTTCATGTTCATCAGTCATGGAATCCATGTGAATTGAATGTAATTAGTAGAACTTTATAATGGCAACTGCAGTACATGTGTTATTATTGCTATCATTCTCTCTTTACTCCTATTTGATATTTTAAGCCGCGGCTTTGGGTAGAGATTTGGTGCATTATGTACTCTTATTAAGGAATATGAGGATATGTTTGATTCTTTGATCTTTTGGGTGTTTGTTTGTGGCTCAAATAACAGGAGGTTGCTGTCAAGAAGTTCCTAGATCAGGGTTTCTCCGGAGCAGCTTTGGCAGAATTTAAAAGAGAAGTAAGCAATACATTAGTTTCTAAACTGACAACTAATGGACGGATTATTACAGAATTTAAGTAAAGAACTAACTTGCATCCATTATGTATTTAGTGATTAAGTAGTGGTCACCTTGTATAGTTGTTTACTTTGTTCTGACTAGATAACTGCTTGCTATGCAATTCCCTTGCATATTAACGCTTTCACTTTCTTTTAAGGACATATATACACCAATACAAGAGTGTATCAATGAAGTTGTTATTCTTAATCTGACTTTAGAGTTACTGACCTTAGATTTCTGATTTTTGGACTGTAATTTAAGGTGCGGATAATGCGCAGATTGCGTCATCCAAATGTGGTTCTTTTCATGGGTGCTGTTACTCGTCCTCCAAATCTCTCCATAATTACTGAATTTCTCCCCAGGTGTGCCTCCTCTCTGCATACCAATGTCTAAGATATTTGGTTGCATTTTTATTTATCATTTTGATGCTCCTGTGATGAAACCTTGTTTGTGCATTCGTCATTATCTCCATTGACTTGGGTCTTGTTTATGGTTTCTAGGGGAAGCTTATACCGAATTCTCCACCGTCCTCAGTGTCAGATTGATGAGAGGCGCAGAATAAAAATGGCTCTTGATGTGGTATAGTAGGCTGTCACCTTTGATTCTCCAGTATATAATTGACACTATATATGTCTTGATTCCTAGTTCTTGCCGGATGATGTAGGCAAGAGGTATGAACTGCTTGCATAGCAGCTCACCAACAATTGTTCACAGGGATTTGAAGTCCCCTAATCTGTTGGTGGATAAAAACTGGAATGTTAAGGTAAATAGTGAATTTTTCTTCTTATGTTCCCTAATCACAATTCTCATTGGTCCACTAAGTGAAGGTTCTGGGTTTTCACGTGGCCATGAATTTGTAAGGTTTGCTTCTTCTGGGTGGTTAAGGTGTTCCTATGTCCTACATGGTTTGTGTTTTAGCAACTTAAATTAAAATTATTCTTGAGGTTTTACTTTCTGAGATTTTGTAGTCTTTTGATGTTTGTGCAGGTTTGTGATTTTGGTTTATCACGCTTAAAACACAACACATTTTTGTCATCCAAATCAACAGCCGGAACGGTGAGATGAATGTGCCCCTATATATATTGCTAATGAGCTTCATCTTACACTTGTTACTGATTACTTGTATGTGATGTGTTGTTAGCCTGAATGGATGGCACCTGAAGTACTTCGCAACGAGCCCTCGAATGAGAAGTGAGTTGATTATCTTTTTTTCATACTTCAATCTCATGTCTTTTAAAATACATTCATTTTGGTCTTTAACCCTACATTTCTAATGCTTTTAAGGGTCTGGGTCTTTGAGCTCAAAAGGAGCACACTAAACTGCATTGCGTAGAGCTTTTAAATGCCTGAAACTTAGTAAAGCAAAATATTCAGTTTGGATTACCTTGGTGATAATAGGTGCATCAAAACATATAACATTATAACAACCTACAGGGTTCGGTTGTCTTTTGTGTCAGCATAATTTAGCCCTTATTATTTGTGAGCTTTAATAGCTGGCCGCTCGGTACCTGCAGGTGTGATGTATATAGTTTTGGAGTGATTCTATGGGAGCTTGCAACGATGAGAATCCCTTGGAGTGGGATGAATCCGATGCAAGTTGTGGGTGCAGTTGGCTTCCAGAACCGTCGACTTGAAATACCGAAAGAACTAGATCCCTTAGTTTCGAGAATCATTTGGGAATGTTGGCAGACGTAAGTAGACGGCTTAAGACCTATTGAAGCACATTCTATACTTAGACATATGCGATCCCTGGCAAAATAATTAATCATTCTTGCTTGTTGGCTGGCTGGGTCTGTTTTGTCATCTTCTTTATGGTATGCAGGGATCCGAATCTGAGGCCGTCATTTTCACAGCTTACAGTAGCTCTAAAGCCGCTGCAGCGGCTTGTTGCTCCTCTTCAGATGGACCAGCCAAGTTCAGGTTTGCAGCAGCAGGATGTACCAGTAAATTTCAATCCTTGAATGCGTCTCTCTAAATATCTCAATTGTGAAGAATCGGCTTTCTGTTTTTGCCCCGATGATTTGTTTTTGGAAGTGTACAAGCTAAATGAGAAAGCACATGATTGAAAAAAAAAAGCAGAGAAAGAAGAATGCTTTTTGTGTAAGTAATCTCTTTTCATTGTGCTGCTACCCAAAATTCTTGTAGCCAGCAGCATGTTTCTTTGTACATCCATCATACTTGGTCATAAAATTGAATGTGTCCGTAAAGGACTACAAAGACGTTGTAATATACCATAATCAAAAACAGTATTCATACTCACAAACTACGGCGTTGGCTCCACGTCGGAACTTTGAAATCAAATGTACAGATACAAAAATGTTGCTTGTATTTCGTAATTCGTAGGTTCCTTGTAGTTGTTTAATTGATCTGCTTGAATTCCATTGTGCTCTTTTTGTTCTTTTGAGGTCATATGTTCCTCAGACTAAACAGGACATCCTAGTGTTCCATGGCTGTTGCACTCCTGGTAAGTTGAATTGGTCGGACCTTGACTCTGGCTTTGACCGGGTGGAAAAAAATATATTGGATGCACCGTTTTCGATTCGTCTTCATTGCACAATTGATGGAAACATTACAATCCGATCCAACATGTTATATTTTACGCCATGAAGAAACCAAGTGTAATACAATTTTGCATGAATCAGTTACTTGCAAGGATTGAAATACCTTACTAGTTGTTGTATGAGAAAAGTCAGTGGTAGGGTGCTTTATGCTAAAATTGTGGTTCAATCGTTTCATACTGCTAAATATCGCCTACCGATTTAGCTTACGGTAGGAGGTTTTTCTAGTCGAACCGTCGGTACGATACAGTATTTCAATCCTTAGTTACTTGTTTCTCGACTCTGGATTGATACCATGCCTCTTGCTTGGTTGAGTTGATTTCGAGCGAGTTTGAAAACTAACTGGTGGGTAGTTATTTATTGCTTAGTGGCGTGCAGGAGTAGAAAATGATTAATTTGGATATTATTTTACTTTTTATGAAATAATGGATGTTTTAGGATATAATGGATCAAAATTGTGTGAGAAGGTGCTTCAATGGCCCGCATCAAGGTGAACCTCTATCCTTGTGTTCGATATGAGATGCCTTCTCTAGGGGGTGGATTGCTTTAGAATCGTAAAGGGAAATGGCATTAAAAAAAATCATAGAAGCACTTAAAGTACGGGACACGTTACGGTGATTATTATAAAATAGTAATCACCGTGGTTACTAAGGGCAAATTGGGTGTAACAAAAAATTTATTAATGATTTTTTTTAATAAATTACATTTTAGGAAATTACATAAATATATTAAATACAATTTTTTCTCTCTCTTTCTCTCACTTCCACAATTTTTGAGCCAGATCTCTCTTCCTTCTTTTTCTCAATCTTTCCTTGATTTCGTTTAGCCAAACTAATACCGCTGCAACAACAAAACAATAAACAAATACCAATCCATTAAAAAATACTACCATTGTACAAAACATCAATACCATTCGAGAAATTAAAACACTACCAATTCACAAAATACAATTACCATTGCAAATTTAATCACTAACAATGTGACAAAATCAATACCAATGCGACAAAAACAATACCACTACGGGAAAAAATTACTACCATTTAAAAAACATTAAGTGCTACTAACGAATATAAAGAAGACATAAAACCCACCGCTAATGAAAGGCGCCATTGTAATGATGAAGACATCAAGCAAAAAGAAAGCCCGGTGGGAGCAGGAAATCTTCACCAGGAAAGAAGAATCTGAGGTATCTTGGCGCTGGCGGCGCTGAAGATGGAGGATGTGGAGGAGAGGATTCGCTCCCCGTGGTTCAGCAGCATTTGGGAGTACATGTGAGAAAGAATTCGCCGTAAGGGGTGGCCCAGCCGCTGTTGTCGTTGCGGAAGAATTGGTGTCCTCTGGTCAGTTGTTGTATTGTCCGGCGTCTGTTGGACTGGAGTTACCCCATTTTGATTTGTCGGCGGCCTGTGCACCTCACCTCCGGCGCAACCAGCTCATCTATGGTGGCTCGCCACCCATCCGACTGGTAGCTCGCCCGTGGGCGGAGAAAGAGGTGAGAGCGACGGTGAGGGAGGGAGAAAGTGAGAGAGCATCGAGAAAAGTATTTAGGGTTTTGGGTGATTATATGAAAAATTCATATTTCAAAAGTAGTAATTAGGTGTTGTTATTATTTTTGTTCCAAAACTATCCCTAATTAATCATGACGGTCAATTAAAAAATGGTGAGAATAAAGGGTGGAGATATAAGTAGCCACCATGGCTACTAAAAAACTAATAATCATGCTAATGCATTCTCTTAAGGTGCTATTATTTATTTTTAATATGATATTAAAATTTTGATGGATAAAGACATGCCAATGATTTCTTTTATGACAGATGGCGATGTTAGTGTTTATGCTTTACATAACAGTCGTGTGGCTAGGTATTTGGACAGGGTTGGACTTATTATCAGGCTTTGTCTACCTTACGAGTTGAATATGATCTTTTATCTGCTTCTTTGTTGTCTGTTGTGGCCTCAGAGGAGGTTCTGAAGGAGAGATCCCGTGCTCGCCATATGCAATTTCTTATGAAATTACGTCCGGAGTTTGAAGCTATTCGCGCTTATTTGTTGCATCGCCAGGTTGGGACCATTGTTGAAGCTCTTGGTGAACTCATTCGCGAAGAGACTCGACTCCGGAGTCAAACGCAGCTTGAACAGTCGGGGTTTGGTGATTATGCATTTGCTGTAAGTCGCGGGGGTTCCAGGAAACCAATTTTTCAGCAAGGAGATACGAGTCAACTGACTTGTCATTTTTTGTCAGGAGGTTGACCATATTCAACCCCATTGCAAGCGTCGCAATGAATGTATATATTGCAAGAGCTCGGGACACATAATTCTGAAATGTAAGTCTCTTGTTCGCAAAGGCAAGTCTGGTGATTATTCTTTGTCAGGGAGTTCTCGTACTGTTAGTGGCTCACGTGCAACTAGTGGCGGTCGAGGCGTTGGTGGCTCGAGTTATGCGATGGAGGTCACTCCTTCTGGTTCAGCTGCTGTCGCATCTGGTACGGCTCTTACTGCCGAGGTTGTTCATTGTTTGGTTGCTGAAGTTCTACAAGAGACTTTACCCGTTGCCTTGACGACTGCCTTTGCTATGGGGGCTCTTCAGGTAATCCTCGATGGTTATTTGACTTCGCTGCATTTAACCATATAAATAGTAATCGCTCTGGTTTTTTGTCCTTATAACCAAGCCCTGTGTTGTCTCTACAAGTTGCCAATGGGGCACGTCTCCCTGTTCATGGTATTGGTACTACTACTAGAGGCCGGGTGAAACTGCAAGATACTTTATTTGTTCCTCAGCTAGTTCCTAGCTTAGTATCGGTGGGTCAATTGACTGTAGCAGACTGTGAAGTTAAGCTTACTAAAGTCGGGTGTGTTGGTGCATGATCCAATGACAGGGAGGGTGATAAGCAGGGGTAAGAAGGATGATTGCGTGTTCATTCTTGGTGATTGTCATTAGAGATGTCGTTACCTGGTGGGACGTCGACATAAAGAACTGTTGTGGCCAGCTCTTCTTGCTGCATAGTTTTGTTAATAAATCTCCCCATTTTGAGACTATAGTTGATGGTTTGGTTTCTGCTATAAAGCCTCGTGGCTCTTTGAAATTTTCTAAACAGAATACTATGTGGGATTTGTGTCATTGTCACCTTGGTCACCCTCACAAGACCAGATTGTTGGATATGTTTCACAGTAATTTACTTCCTGGAAAGTTGGATTGTCACTTGGTTTCTTCTCATTCCTGCATCATTTGTCTTGAAGCTAAAATTTCACAGTTGTCTTTCTCTTCTAGTGAGACGGTATATAAGGAACCTTTTGAGCTTGTTCATACCGATCTCTGGGGTCCTTCGCTTGTCCCGTCTCGCAGGGGATATCGCTACTTTGCTCTCTTCATCGATCACGCCACTCGGTTTGCCTAGATTTATTTTCTTCGTAGAAAATATGAGTTGATCACTCATGCTCGGCACTTTGTTCAGATGGTGTTGACTCAATTTGGTAAAAAGGTGAAGGTCATTCGGTCTAATCCCGGTGAGGAATTCAGTTCTCACCCATTGCTTGAGTTTTATGCTTCTCACTGGATTTTGCCTCAACAGTCTTGCCCAGGTGTTTCTCAACAGAATGGGCTAGTTGAACGTAAGCATCGACATGTCTTAGAACTTACATGTGCCCTACTCTTTCATTCTCGTATTCCGAGTGTTTTTTGGGTTGAAGCGGTTAGTACGATTTTGTACCTGATTAATAGACAGATTACTTCTGTCCTTGGGTAGCCGTCTCCTTTTCAGCTTCTCTATTCTAAACTTCCTGACTATTTGCGGCTCCAAGTGTTTGGTTGTCTATGCTTTGTGTTACATCCGAAGAAAGCATGTGACAAGCTATCTCCCAAGACAGCTCGTTGTATGTTTATTGGATATAGTAGTCAACACAAGGGGTATTTGTGTTATGATCACGTCGCTCGTCGCATGCATATTTCATGTCATGTCGTTTTCCTTGAGCAAATTATGTATTGCCCCTCCTCCGATCACCGGGATCACAAAGACATGGATTTTTTGCGGTCGTTACCATCGTTCGTTCAGACTCCTGCTGTTCGGGATGGCGCGTTTCAGGGAGGGAATGGTAATGAAACTCGTCAATCCCTCTCATTGTTCAGCACAGGTAGTCCATCTAAGGGTTCGGCAGAATTGGATGGCTCTTCTTCGCATATAGGTTTGGAGGAATTGAATGGCTCCTCCTCGCCTTTATTAGACTCGCCTGTGCACTCGTCTTCGTCCGACTCAGCTCCATAGAACTCGGCTTCGCCTCATTCTCCCAACCAAGGTACTTCGTCTTGTGAGTCATCATCATCATTTACTAGATCTTCTTCGACTTGTGGTTCTGCTGGTGGTTCGAATGGTGCTTTGGGCACAACACCTCATTTTCCTGAACTACGCAGGTCTTCGCGAGCTACAATGGGACAGCCACCGAAAAGATTAGGGGATTATGTGGGTTTTTCAGGAGAGCCGATACCCATTCCAAATCATTACCGATTTTCTAAGGGTCATATAAACTGGGAATCTGGAATGAAGGAAGAGATGCGCGCTCTTGAAGAAAATGATACGTGGGAATTGGTTCCAAGAGTTCTTGCAAGTTCAGTCATAGGTTGCCGTTGGGTTTACACTGTGAAGATGAAGCCAGATGGGTCTCTAGAACAGTATAAAGCTAGACTTATTGCTCAGGAATTTTGACATGAGTATTGAATAGACTACGATGAGACGTTTGCACCTGTTGCAAAGATGTAAACAGTACAGAGTGTTCTTACTGCCGCAACTATGAAAAAGGGGCAGATTGTTCAGTTTGATGTGAAGAATGCTTTCCTCCATAGAGATTTGAAAGAAACGTTTTACATAGAGTGTCCAGAAGGCTATGAAAATGGAGCACCAGGTATGATTTGTAAATTGAAAAGATCATTGTATGGCTTGAAACAAGCACCAAGGGCATGGTTTGAGAAGTTCCATAGTACGGTACTGCAATTTGGATTTGTTCAAAGTCAAAATGATCTATCGATGTTTACACGATAGATAGTAAATTGTAACACAGTGTTGCTCTTGTATGTTGACGATATGATTGTCACAGGCAGTGACACACATGGTATTTAGGAATTAACTCAGTCTCTGTGAGAAGTCTTTAATCTGAAGGAACTGGGTGAGGCTTTTTACTTCCTAGGATTGGAGATCAATAGAACTAAGCTAGGAATCATGTTATGTCAGCGAAAATATATTAATGATATTCTTGAAGCAACGTACTATAGAGATTGTCGGCCATTTTCAACACTAATGGAACAGAATTTAAAGCTTAGCCAGGAAAGTGGGGAGTTGCTAGAAGACCAGACTTTTTACAAGAGTATAGTAGGCATTCTGATTTATCTTACTCATACGAGACTAGACATTGCTTATGCAGTACAAGTGGTGAGTCAATTTACTGGAGCAGCTCGTAGTTCTCATCTAGATGCGTTGCATCGTCTATTGAGATATTTGAAACAAATGAAAGATGTTGGCATCTTCTTTCCAGCATATGGTGAACATGAGATTGAGGCGTTTGCTGATGTCGATTATGCAGGCTGTTTGGATACCAGGAGTTCAACGTCTGGTTGGTGTGTGAAGTTTGGACGATATTTTGTTTCATGGCGGTGTAGGAAACATGATAAGGTCTCTAAGTCTTATATAGAGGCAGAGTACAGGTCGATGTCTGAAGTTAGCTCAGAGATGGTCTGGCTTCAGAGATTATTTCAGGAAATAGAAGTACATATTCACTATATCAGATAGCTAGTCGCAGAGGGAGTTGTGAAATTGAGCTATTTATCGACTGATGATCATACTGTAGTTGTGCTAACGAAGGCAGTGGGATCGAGCAGGCATAGGTACCTATCTTCCGAATAGATGTTTTACCCAACATCAATTTGAGGAAGGGTGTTAGTTTAATATATTTGGGTACCAGTTTTTAAATAGCATGTGTTATGTAGTTAGGGTTTGTAGAGAAAACCTATAAATATGTTGTTGTGTACTATGATGAAAGTAAGCAAATTTAATCCATAAAACCGAAAGGGTGATCCTCTCCGTGGACTAGTGTCGTATCGACGAAACCACGTTAAAAAAATTTAGTGTTCTTTCTCTTGCTTTCGATTCTCTAACAGGTTCCTCCAATGCACGTCCGAGTGACCTCAGAGAAGGGGACAACTAGATAAGCAATGTTTTAATTAGTGCTTAAGCTCATAGAGACATTATTTCAATGATAGGATCCCACCAAAAAATGTTTCGACCACTCATCACTCAACGAATTGCCTCTACAAAATAATTCAAGAAATATAATAAGTAGCAGCAGTCAAAACTTAGGTCACCCAATTCGTGGGTCAACCATCGACGCTCCTCCTTTAGATCGTGAAAACTATATTGATTGGGAGCACGGATTATATTTGAAATTCGCGATCTTTCAAATGAATTAGGCTTTACTAGAAAGCAAAGAAGAAAGATTAGTTGTTCTCGTTAGCTGGCGGTTCAATTGCCTTCCGGCTGTGAATTGACTGTAGCCGATCCATTCGTTTCTTTATCCTACAACAAAGTGTTGTCCATCAAGAGATCCAACGGACCCAGAAAAGGTTCATTTGGTGGTTGCATGGAGAAATCTATCATCAGAAGGAAGGAAAAAAAGGGTAAATGCCACATTTGGTCACTAGAAAAAATTAATATCAATTTTGGTCACTCGAATGACTAAAACATGTCTCATTTAGTCACTCTCCCGTTAGTTTCCGTCCAACCCCGTTAATGGAGTTGGACGGAGGCAAACGGGAGAGTAACTAAATGTGACAAGTTTTTAGTAATTCGAGTGACATTCATAAAAAAAAAATTAATTCGAGTGACCGGAGTTGGACGGAAGCTAACGAGAGAGTGACTAAATGTGACATGTTTTAGTAATTTAAGTGACCAAAATTGATATTAATTTTTTCTAGTGACTAAACATAACACGATTTAGTAATTCCAGTAATTTTTTCTAGTGACTAAACATATTAGAATCATTATTAATAAAATTAAATTACAATCGAGTTTCCATCCTTTATCATTACTTGTGTCTATATAATTGTATATATTATATTTTTCTTGATTTCGCTAAAGTATTTTGAATAATTTTATACAATATACAAAATAAATATATATTATATTAGTTAAATAATATAATGATAACGCTTTGTTACGTTCTCAATATTAAATTCTTATAATTTAGACGCTTTCACGCTCTCACACTCGCTCTCACCTCACAAACTGATTACCCAAGTCAAAACTACAAATTAGTGTGTTTGTTCAATTTGTTGCTCTTTTCTCTTTTTGGCATCTTATTTATGTCATTGTTACGTCATCTTGCCTAATCTATCTTTTTAGCAGAAAATTTGCCTTGCTTCCACATACAACGGCTAGCTCGCATTATAAATATCAAAGCCAAAGGTGGCAGTGGCAGATTATAAACTAATAAAATCCAAGTTAGACTTCCATCTTCTCTGAAGAAGCAGATATGGCGAGGTCTTCTGCACTTGTTTACTTCCTGCTTGCCGTTTTGCTCTTCACCTTCCTAGGTAAACAGATCCAAACAACTCACTCTCTCACTCATCCTATTCTTTTCTCCTTTTTTTTTTCCCGGTGGGAGAATCCTACTGTCAGGTTTCAAAAAAAAAAAAAAAAAAAAAAATCATCTTGATCCCCACTCGTCCACTTATGGGTCACTTCCCATGCTATTACGGGTCGGGTAAAATCCGTGCTATCGCGGATCAGGTTAGATAATATTCAACAGGACGAGTTTAAATTGTCATCTCTAGAATCAACCGTAATATCAAATTTGTGCCATGATCTCTGATCCCATATCTTATTATCTGGAGTAAGCTTATGGATAATCTACCTTTTTCATCACAGTCAAGTATCCAGTTTTTTTTTTTGGTCGACCAAATCTAGTTTCATGTGAATTTGAAAGTCTGTTCGATCTACTCAGGCTTTTAGCAACGAAATCTTCTGGTACCCATAGTTTAGTTTATTGGTCGCAAAAAAATTTGCTATTTCTTTTGTACAACATCCAGATGTCGGCAACTTAGGACTTATCTTATTGATCAAAATTAAATTATATTTCATTACTATCCCAGGTTGTTAATCTTCCTAATTATTATTTAGTAATTATATGATGTTCTTTCTTTTGCTACTATTAAATAAACAAGGTGGCGACGAAATGAGGGCGGAAGCACAACAGTGCATTGCGAAATGGGATTGCAACGGCGGTAAGAAGCTTTGCAACCAGAATTGCCAGACTACTTATTATGGCGTCGGAACTTGCGAGGATCCAACTCCCAACCTCTGTTCTTGTAGATATGATTGTTAAAAAAAAGAAAAAGATGGAACAAAAATGGCGCTACTTAGCTTAAATTGATAAAATATGTTGTCGCCATCTTGGCTGTCATGACTCATCAATAATACATCAAATCACTGTTTTAGTATCTTTCTTTGGATAACCATGATCATCGTCATCGACTTAAAGGTGCATACAATGAATATTTCGCCTTTGTCAAATATATTATCTTATCCGTGATATTGGTGGAAGCCAGTCATTTGTCAAATGCATAGTGACTACGATGCAATGAGTAATGACCGTTCAATGATAAACACACAATACAATTTAGAGGTTGTAATTTTTTTAGATAAATACAATATATTAGGCACAACTATTAAAAAGCGGTATTTGTAAAAAAAATATATTAAAAAGCGGTGAATTATAGTAACAACTATCGAAATACAAATTATTCGCATGTTACTCAGATTTGATACCAACTGAACTCATTACTTCAGATACTCAGTATTTGGGTAAGCTATACGATAAATGCACGATAAATATTCATATCCCCAGACTAATATTCATATTGCCCATACTAATATTCATATTGCCCAAACTAATATTGATCACACTCCCTTCCAAACCACTCAAAACATCTTATATTCATCAAAATTTCATGGGCCGGTGAATATACAGAAGCTAGTGTGTTGAGGTCAATTTGACCTTGCTCTCCCATGTTTATCCACATGTCATCGGCTGGTTGATCTCTTCTCGGTGAGTGCTCGAAAGAATCGAATCCAAACTCATTTTTTTTACTTCGTCTTTCTTCTTTCTTTAACTGCATATCCATATCTCTTCTAAAACAAATCCATGAACAAACACGAACAAGACATGCATATAAGAAAAATTGAAAACCTAAATCTAGTTTTTTAGCATCTCTCATGTTTTAAATTTCTTCCTGTGGGAGAAATTTTTTTCCTTTGAAAGAACAGAAGATAGCGGAGAAAGAAAGAGAAAAAAATGAGAGTGAGAAGATTATTCTGTTTTGATTTTTGTTGGGAAATGAAGAGAGTAAGAGAGAGTGAAGTGGTGGCCTAGTGGGATCCACCATTGAGAGTAAGAGGATGACATGACTTGGCTTGGCTTAGCCATTTTTTCCACCCATTAAATGCTTTCCCAAGCCAACAATTTCCAGCCACACATTTTGGCTTTTGGTGATGTCGACCAATGAGAGTGTTGTGAGTTGGTGCACACAAAAAATGCTATGTGCACCATAACAAGATTGGTCTCCTGGTGGCTCCCTTCTTTTCCCCCCAAACCCAATAATCGAAACCCTTCACTGAAAATCCAACCCCGAATCCATCAATTGAAACCCCCAACTCCGATGTCGGCGCTGCAACTAATGTGGGATGATGCCGCGGTGGAGAATCGGATCTGCAAAAAAAAAATTAATAGGGGAAGGCAAAGGGAGCGGAAGGAGAAGCATTACGGTGCGGTGGCGCTCGACGCCAACGAGGATTGTGGTGCAACGATGGCAAGGAGGAGGGGATGGTGCAGAGACGACAAAGAAGGTGCGGCGACAACAAAGACGACAATGGGGGGGCTTCGTTTTGTGGTAGTCAACTATTTTGGAGCTCGAATCTTCAGGAAGCGAGCCCAAAACGCGATTGAGGTTGCTCTCTTCTCCCCAGATCCAGGCGATTGCAGGCGAGGCCATCCACCGCTGACGAGTGGATGCG